TGGCCCTTGCAGCTAAAAAGATCAAGGTGAATGGAGACAAAGCGGGAATGGATACTGAAATTGCATGATTGGCCATGATCACATTGCAGGCTCGAAGGGCTGAATGGCCTACTGCACCTAATTTCTATGTTTCTGTGAACCTGGGCCTTCAGACCCAGAGGTAGGGACACTACCACTGAGCCGCAAGAGCCCTTTCAACAAGGATTTCAAATGAGTGGCACCTTTTGGATTTCTATCAGCTTCTGCTCAATTACTGCAAAATATTTGCTAAAGTAGTGTTAACCATGTACTGTTCTCCTTAAATAATGCCAGGATAATAAGGAAGAGTAGGATTGAAGGAAATTAGTGCGCTAAGCCCTTATTTTAGCTATATATCACTATTTTAAAATATTAGTGGTTTACCTGGGGCAGCATTCAGGGTGACTTGGAGCATACACTATTGTATAATGGCAGAGGCATTAAATGATGCAAAGTGCATTTTATCGTGAATCTGCTGTACATGGTGTCACAGTTTAAGACTAAGAGGTCTCCCTTTTAAGGCAGAGCTGAGAATTCTTTTCTCTGACAGTTGTTGGTCTGTAGAATTCTCTTCCTCAGAAAATGATGGAGGCTATTATTGAATTTATACTACACTGAGGAATTAAGACTTTTGAGAGAGTTATGTGGGGCAGACAGGAAATTGGGATTGAGGCCCCAACAATGTCAGCCATGATTTTATTGAATAATGGAGCAGGCTTGAAGGGCAGAATGACCTGATGCAGCTTCTAAATCCTATGTTCTTACATGTTGCTCACAGAGGTTGTATTCTTAATTGTAAAACATAAGCGAGTAAATTTTAAAAGAAAGTTTCAAATACAAATAAGTGTAAAGTTCTGCAGTGTAAAATCATTTCGTGAAAAGAACAAAAATGAGAGAGCTGAGCTGGATCAGGAAAATGTTGGCTTTAAAGAGGTAAATAATGATTGAATAGGAAATACATTCAGAATGCGTGCGGAATTGTTAGAGAGGACAATGGATGTGACAACTAAGTTGAAGAGAATAAAACAAAAATGTATCATTCAAAGATGAAATAATTAAAAATATAGTCTGAGATGTGCACAGAATTAGATGAGTAAGCATGAAGTATCCTCCAGTTGGTTTATTACATATTCATCATTCTGTAACTTAAAGACATGGTGATGGATTTATGTTTGGGAATGCTATGGGTGGAGAGTGGTTGTGCTACTCACTTAAACCCCTACTGTGAGGGCTTCTTGCGATTCAGTGGTAGTATACCAACATCTGGGTCAGAGGACCCACCTGCTGCAGTGGTGTTTCGTAACATAAAAACCAAAAGAACTGCAGATGCTGTAAATCAGGAACAAAAACAGAAG